AAAAACCAAAAAAAAAAAAAAAAAAATTCTTCAGTAATCATCTTTCGGAAGAGTAGCTGGCAGATATGTTTTCCCACTTCATCCTGGTGCTTGTTTGCCTTGCCAGGCAGAAACTGTCTCCATTTCGTGGAGTCCCATTGTGGATTCTTGCTATGATCTGCTGTGCTACTGCTGTGCTGTGAGGGAAGTCTGCCCGAGCCTCTGGCTTCAGGTGTTTTCCCTGTTTTCTCATAGGCATTTCAATCTTTCTGGTCTTATACATAGGTTGTGGATCCATTTTCAGTTAACTTGTTACAGGATTAGATCTAGCTTAGCTTGCCTATATGTGGATATCCAGTTTCCCCAGCACCATGTGCTAAAGAGTGTATGTTTTCTCCAGTGTGTTTTGGGCTCCTTAATCCAGAATCAGATGGTGGTAATTGCATTCATTTGTTTTTGGGTCTTGTCCTTCTTTGGGCTATGTCTATTTTTGAGCCTGTATCATGCTGGTTTTCTTACTATGGCTTTGTAGTATAATTTCAAATCAGGAATTATGATGCCTCGGGCATTGTTGGTTTTGTTTCAGATTGCTTTGGCTGTTTGGGATGTTTCTGCTTCCACCACGAATTTTAGCATTAGTTTTTCTCCTTTGGTGAAGAATGTCATTGAAATTTTAATGGTGACTGCATTAACTCTATGGGTCCCTTTTAGCAATATAGCCATTGTAATTATACTAATTCTGCCAACCCATGAAGATGGGAGGTCTTTCCATCTTCTAGTGTCTTCAATTTCTTCAGTATTTTCTAATTTTTATTCCAGATGTTTTTCACCTCATTGGTTAAGTTGAACCCTTGGGTTTTTGGGTATTTTGTTGTTGTTGTTGTTTTTTATTTAAACAGTTGTAAATGGAATTATTTCCCTGATTTCTTTCTCAGCTAGTTCATTATTGGTATGTAAAACCAGTAATGTTGATTTTGTTTATCAAAATTCATTCAGTAGAGTCTGTGTTTCTAAGTGTAGGACCACATCAACTACAAATAAGGATAATTTTAATTCTTCCTTCCTATTTGTATCCCTTTTTTTCTTTCTCTGGCCTAAATACTCTTGCTAATATTTAGGGTGAGGGTTAGGCCCTATTATTGTATTGAGATTTATGTGCCCTTTTTTGTTAAGTAGCATTTGTTTTATGCAATTGGGCATACAAATGTTCAGTGTGTATATACTTGTAACTGTTATATTTTGTTAGTTAATTGCCTTTAGCAATATATGATGGTCTTATCACTTCTAATTTGTTCTTTTTTTTTATTTTAAAGAATAAAAGAAGGATAACATAATAATAGGGGGAACTTAGCAAATTACAGACAAAATGGTAGGAAATTATCAATGGTTATCATTTTACATATTATTGTCTACAAAATAGTTTCTCAGGAAAACAAATAGACAAATAATAGTGAGTTACAGACAAAAGAGGTAGGAGATTATCAAGAGTTGTTGTACTATACTTTGGTATCTTCAAAGTGGCTTCTAAGGAAAATAAACAGAGCTATACATGAGTGACCTATTGAAAAATCATTAACTATTCTCAATGGTTGTTGTAGGAAACACATAATAATAAACAGACATCCATTTATGAAATAGGATAGGAACATTACAAACTTTACACAGTTATGGATAGATTAGTAGGAAAATATCAATGGCTGCTGTAATACGTGGTGGTATCTTCAATATGGTTTCTCAGGAAGACAGAGATATGCAAGAGGGACCTATTAAGGAGTTACAGCCTAAGGGTTGTCAAAAATAGCATATTACCTCCTCACCAGTGACTCCTTTCACTGAGGTATGATGGCTGGAAGGAAGGCCAGGATTGAAAAGAAGGACCGAGAGACTTGCACCTGTGCCTAGCAACAGGCTGTTTTCTTGTTCCTCCATAGTCATGATTACCCAGGGCTCCTCGATGGAGATGATGGTCTGGCCAGAGGGAGAAAGCAGACCATGCCCCAAGCCCTCTCATTCCTGTTGGACTAACTGGTAGCATGGGTCTGATCTCTGGGCCCTCCACCTCAGAGGGCAGACCGATCTCCAGTGGTCTCCTTTGCATCCAGGACATGGCCCATGGGGCCTCTTAGGGCAGTTCCTCTTGAGGTGGCCTGGCTTTTAACAGTGGTAGCCGATGAATGCAGTTGTCGAGTTCTTCTTGGAGCCCCGGGAATCAGACCTGGGATCTGTTTCTCTTAGTGGTGCAGCAAAAGCAGCTGCTTTTTCTCGGTCTCTTTGTTTTCTCTCCTTGGCCTCCTCCTCATCATGGCTATAGAATACTGAGGAGGCAATTCTTACTAACATCTCAAGTGAGCTATCTGGGGTGAAAGCCATTCTTTGTAGCTTTTTCTCTCCAGCTTCCCATTGCTTACTTCTAATTTGTTCTTGAAATCTGTTTTGTCACATGTAACTACTCCCACTTGATTTCAGCTGCCATTTACATAGAATATTTTTTTCCACCCTTTCACTTTCAGTCTGGGTGTCTCTGCTAGTAAGGTCAGTTTTTTTCAGGCAACAAACGAGTTGGGTATTGTTTTTCAAACCAATCTGCCACTTTTTAAATTAGAGAATTAGGAACATTTACATTCAGAATTATTATAGAAAGGTATGTAGTAATTGCTGTCATTTTGTAGTTTTGCTAATGTTTGATTCTTTCATAATTCTCAATAGCTTATCTACTCTTTCTCTTCTGTATGTACGATTCTTTTGTAATCTTCAGCCATGCTGCTTAGTGGTCATTAATTTTTTTGATTATCTGAAAGGTCTTTTCTCCTTTGATTTTGAAGGAATAGTTTTGCAAGGTAGGCAGTTATTTTCTTTCAGGGCTTGAAATACATCATTCTATGCACTTTTGGCCTGTAGAGTTTCTGCAGAAAAGCCTGCAGTTTTCTTACTGGTTTGCCTCTGTGTGTAACTTGGTGTTTCTCTTCTACAGCTTTCAATATTCTTGTTCTGTACTCTTCACATTTTAATTATAATGTGATGTAAGGAGGCCCTTTCCTAGTCAACCCCACTTGGCGTTCTACATGCCTTCTGTCCCTGGATGTCCACATATTTCCCAGGATTTGGGAAGTTTTCTGTTGTTATTTCATTGAATAGATTTTCTGTGCTATTACTGTAAACCCTGATGGCCTCTTCTGCTCCAAACGTTCCTAAGTTTTGTCTTTTAACTGTGCCCTAGAGTTCTTGGGTGTCTGGTTCTTATTATTTTTCTTATTTAGTGTCTGACTGTGATGATTTATTTACCTTGTCTTCAAGTTCTAAAATTGGACCTTCTATTTTACCCAGTCTGTGGATGAGTTTTTTCACGGTTTTTTGACTTAAAGTACTTTTCATTTACAAAGTTACTATTTCGTTCCTCTTCACAATCTATATTTCATTGCTCCTTCATATCTTGCATTCTTAATTCATTCACCTATTTATTTGTATCTTGTCTGAAGTCACTAATCATTTTAAAAATCAGTTCTTTGGGGCCAGGGATATAGCTCAGTGGCACAGCACCTGCCTGGCAAGCATAAGGTCCTGAGTTTAATTCCCAGTACCAAAAAAAGAGAAAGAAGTCAGTTCTTTGAATTCTAACTTTAGCATTTCACCCATGGGGGAGGGGTTATTGGAGTTTAACCCAGGACCTTTATACTGAGCTACATCCCCAACTCTTTATTTTTCAGTTTGAGGCAGGGTCTCACTAAGCTGCTAAGGTACCCAGGTTGGGCTCAGACTTGCCATCCTCCTGCCTCAGTGTCCCTGACTAGTAGGACGACAGACGTGTATCACCATGGCTCACTCTACTTAGACATCTTTGCATTCAGTTATTGACAAGTTTAGATACCTTCAGAGGCGTCAACAGGCCTTGTTTTTCAACGCTTCTGTTTCTTGAGAGATGGGTATCTCTTTTGCTCTTACATGAGGTTCTGCTAGTGTCCTGCATTCTACTAAGGACTCAATCCCCAGCACCACTCAAACTGACAACGATGACACAAAGACAAACCCCATATTGACACATAGTAAAACAATTAAATTCAGTAGTTATACCACCATTAAGAGTACAGTACTAGGGGCTGGGGATTTAGCTCAGCGGCAAAGCACTTGCCTGGCAAGCGCAAAGTCGTGAGTTCGGTTCCCAGTACCAGAGAAAAAGCAAAAAAAAAAAGAGTACAGTACTAGCTCTACCACCACTAACAACAGAAAGAAAGGGCTAAAAATTAATAAAGGTTAAAAACACCAATTATATAAGAATAAAATTAGAAAAAGGGGAGGAAAGTGAAAAATGGAGTAAATTTTTTAAAACTAAAAAGGTGAAATAAAAAATCCAATTATAAAATAAAAAGTAAATAAAATTAGGTACAGTTAACAGGAAGAAAACTACAAACAAGAAAAAAGGGAAAATAAAAGAGCTACAAAAACCCAAAAACAGTTCAAAACAATTCCCCCAGGAGGGTGTCGCCCCGCCTTACCTTTTGCTTGAGTGCTTTGCGGTCCCCTGTTCATCTCGGAGAGGCCCTCTCCAGGTTTGCCTTTCACTTCGGCACTGGCTGCTCCACTGCTTACCACGAGGAGGCCCTCTCTTGGCTCATCTTTCAGTTGAACAGTCCGGTCTCCCTGGACCGCAGGAGCTGGGGTTGGCACTACAGATTCCTCCATGCTTTTCTTTATGTCACCTGTCTGTTGCTCTGCAATTATTGGTGGCACTGCCGCCACCTCTGGCGCTGCCACCTCTCCCACCACCACTGCTGCTGCTGTCACCTGTGCCTCCTTTTCCTTCTTAGTTTCAGTAGCTCTTTCGTTCTTTTTCTTTGATGCACTGCTGTTTTCCCGGGCAAGCAGAGGCTGTGGACCTGGGAACACAGCATACTTCTGTTTATATGGAGGCATCCTTTTACCCATTTCATTCATGACTGTACAGTACAGGTACCTTCACCCGAACTGAAAAAAATGTCAATGTAGGAAACTACTGAGTAAGTTTTATTAACTAGTGTCTTGTCTTTTTTCCTATAATTCAGATTTTAGAAAATTACTAGGCTTTGTCTTGAACATTCTCATTACCTTAGAAATACCCTGAAATTTTTAAAAAGTTGCAAAAAATACTACAAAGAACACCAAAGTACCCCATGAGTAAATAAGCTTTTCTCCTTATAAAACAAGAATCCATTACCCAGTTGACTTATTAGCATTCGCATCTGCTTCATCTGCACAATTTCCTTATACATGTGAATGTATGTATATGTACATATTCACACAGTTTGTTTCTACATCAATTAAAGGTAGGTCACAAACGTCAGTGCCTTTGAGTCCTAAGTACTCAAGTTCCTAAAATTACAGAATGCTTGCCTGCCATGTCCAAGGGCCTGGGTGGAAAGGAAAGGAATGTAAGTACATTCTGCTGGGCATGGTGGCACGCACCTGTAGTCCGAGCTGCTGTGGAAGCTAACGAAGAAGGATTTCATGCTTACGGCCAATAAGAGAAATTTAGCAAGGCTTTGTAACCAAGTGAGCTTGCTAAAACCTAGAAGCCCACAGCTGTAAGCTGCACCTCCAGTACCAAGAAAAGAGGGGGGCTGTGAAGTAACCCTATTCCCCTATCTTTTTTTGTCTTTTTTAAATGTTTCTTCACAATTACATGTGTGTTACATTTTCTGGACAAGGATACTGTTTGTATGATATTGTGTCATTTTCATAGTGTCATATCAAGGCCTACGTTGCCCATCTGTCCCTCATTACTACTTATTACTAACATTAATTTTGACCACCCAAGTTAAAATATTGTCTAATTTCTCCACGGTTTCCTTTTGTAATAAGCAGTCCTTCAGAGATGATCTTAAGACAATGCAAATATCTCCCTCACATAAAAATTTTATTTTGGACTTAAATATGTTCTTGATTCTTTCATGATCCAGTCTCTACCATGTTGTTGCAAAGGGCTGATTTTCTAGGCAGGCACAGTGATGCACACCTATAATCCCAGCACATGGGAGGCTGAGGGGAGGAGATCATCTGAGCTACAGAGTAAGTTCAGAGCCAGTATGAACTAGATGGCAAGACCCTGTCTTAAAAAAAACACACACAGATGAACAAGAAGGTGATTTTCCAACACCAGCATTCCCTGTTAACTCACCAGTCACCCACTTGCATTTTACAAGCAAGAGCTCCCCTTCCTCCCCTACTTACTTCTCCGTTGCTGGTATAGAATTCCAACCATCACTGTACTTTTTTTGGTACTCACATTGTCCTGCACTTGACCAGTGGTAGCTCTCTCCTACTGGCATCTGTATTTTCGTGCAATATGCTAACTTTTGGTTTCCTTGAGGCTTGCACTTTATGACACAGTAAATAAGAGGTAACAAGCTCCTCTTACACCTATCCTGGTCCAGCCTTGGAATCCACCTTTACTCCAAATAACCCAGTACAGCATTGTTACTAAACCACACTAAATGTCATAGGGTTAACCAACAACTCCAGCAGTACCTAAATTCCAGAGGCAGAAGAAAGAACAAGGCCTATTCTTTTATCACCCTGCCTTTCACTCAAATAACCAGGCCCTGGGCTAAGAACAACTGAACAGGAGGCAAGTGCTTCAAAAGAATACCAATAGCCAAGTGTGGTGACCCACATGTGAAATCCCAAACTTGGGAGGCTGAGGCAGGAGGACTCCCTCAAGTTTGAGGCTACCCTCAGGGACAACCTCAACTATATAGCAAGACCTGTCTCAAAAAAAAAAAAAAATCCATTAACAGAAAAATCAAAACAAAATTTTTTTTTAAAAAAAAGAAAAACAATACTAATAGAGAGCCAGGCATGGTGGTACACTGTAATCCCAGCATTTGGGGAGGCTGAGGCACAAAGAGTTATAGGCCAAACTGGTTCACACAGTGAGTTCCTGGGCATCCCAAGCCACATAGTAAGGACCCTCTCTCAAAATGGGGTGGGGCTGTAGTTTAGCAAATCCCTGGGTTGTATAGCCAGTACCCTCCTCCAAATAGATTCTAAAACCTTAGAAAAGTAATTTAAATCATTTCACTTTTTGTGTAGAATAGAATACTTCAACTTTTGTTTCAGGGTTTTTTTTCTTTCAGGTTAAGAAAATTAGGAAAGAGTTGCGCTTCATCTTTAAGAGTCCATTGTTTGTAATCTCTCCACCCTTCTACTTCTGATTATCGCTCAATATGTTAACTAACTTGTATTAAAGCAGGATCACTTTCTTATTTCCTTATTCTTGACATCCCATGACTTTGAAGGAAAGAATACCTAGACTTTATGTATTTCTCTTCTTTCTTTTTCAATCTTTTCTAAATTTTATTTAATTTTATTTTTTTGGTACTGAGAATTGAGCTCAGGACCTTGTGATTGCCAAGCACAGTAACAACTTGTGTAATCCCAGCACCCTGGAAGGCTGAGGCAGGACTGCAAGTTCAAGTCCAGCCTGGGCAACTTAGGAATTTAGCAGAACCCCTTTCAAAATAAACAATTTAGAAAGTTACACCAAAAATGTAGCTCAAAAATGTAGCTCAGAACCCATGTATTCTATATGGGTTCAATTACCAATACAAAACAAAAAAAACTGTATTTCTACCTTGACGTGGTATAGTAGAGACTTACAATCTCTAACCCAAATATTCAAAATGCTCTTGAGCACCAACATGATAGCTCAAGTGGAAAATGCCACACCATGCAACTATAATTCATGAACAACATTACGAAAATTACTGTATCCAACTGCCTTCAGAGTATGTACATAGGTATATATGAAACAAACAAATTTCACACTTAGACTGAGGTTCTATCTCCAAAATATAACATATACATACATATATACATATATATATATACACACACACACACACACACACACATACACACACACATATTCCAAAATACTTCTGGGTCCAAGTATTGTTGAGATAGGGTCTTCCTAGGTAGTTTGAAGTGACCCTGAACCAGCTCTCTCCTAGAACTCTTGGCACTGCTCCTGCCTCAGGCTCCAAAGTGCTAAAATTATAGGTGTGCATCACTGGAACCAGATTACTGTTCAGTTTTTGTAAAACATTCTCTAAGTACATTTCTTTCCATTTGACATATTTATTACATTTGTTTGTATTCACGGCTAAATCTGTCTCTATTTCTGCAGTTGATTATATGAGTGGAATTGTGGAGTCTTTAATTTTCTTTCTTTTCTTTTCTTTTTTTCTTGAGACAGGGTCTCACTGTACTTCAGACTGGCCTTGACCTCAAGTGTAGTCCAGGGATTACAAGTATGTACTACAACCCCTGGCCTACTTTTTATATTTCTGCACTGTTTAATACTTTGTAAGAAGAACACGTATCCTTTGAATTATTAAAAGCAATAAAATATTTCCACATTGAAACTTCAAAGTAATGTAAATATTAACCACCTCACCAACAGAGAGAATCTTCCAAATTGCATCAGGGAAACCAGACATCATAATTGAATGTAGTACTCCTATTTCTGGGCACTCATTTATTAAATACTACAAAATCAAAGAAAGAATTCCACCTTCCATAAAAACACAAGCTGTCTTAAATAGCTCAAAACAGGCTCAAACAGAAAATGAGCTTAGGCCATAAAAAGAATAAATAATAAATAACAACCAGTTTTTTTCTTCTGCTACTGGGAACTGAACACAGATCCTTGCTCATGCTAAGCAAGCATGGATCACTAAGCAGTGATATCCCTGCTCTCATTAACTTTTACTTTGGCATGTGGTTTCACTGAGGCTGAGGCTGGCCTCAAACTCCTGGGTTAAAACAGTCCTCACTGCCTCAGCTTCCCAAGTAGCTGGGACTACAGGAATGTGCCACCATGTATGGCTGTTTGTGGAAAAAAAAAAACTGCAGGAATGGTGCTGCACACCTGGAATCACAACTCCTGAGAGGTGGACATAGGAGGATCTCTATGAGTCTGAGACAGCCTGGCCTATGGGGATAGCCAGGCAGTACAACAGCAAGATTCTATGTGGACCTTCCACACACACGCACACACACATGCACAGACACACATGGACACAACTCCTGCTCAGGTTTTAGAAGCCTGAGTCCTTTATGCAGTCAGGCTGGTCAGGCTGGATGGAAGGGCCCAGGCCACAGGGCAGATGCTCCCTCTGGGCAGCCAGGAAGCAGAATCCCAGGGATGCACCAGGACCCACAGGCTGAACTCTACAATATAAAATTAAGTTTTATTTTTTAAAAATCCTGCAATACCCTAAAGCTGCAGTAAGTGAACTGCAATATAATGAAAGACGACTGCACTCCTAAATCCATGGAGAACCAGAAGAGAACTAGAATAGTGAAAGCATTCTGGCCAACAAGAGCAAGATGGGGGCATCATAATCACACATTCAACGTGTACTGCAAAGCAGCAGTGATGAATACAGCATGGTAATGACCACAAAAGAAACACATATGAGCATCAGTGGGACAGACCAGAACATGCAGAAACATCCTTGGGGCAGCCAAGCTGAACCTCACACAGATTCAAGAGTCTCAGTGACTTTGTGCCCACCCCTCTCCCAGACTAGGAAGCAGGCTGGGTCCTAGGCAGTGTATGGAGCCTGGGTGACGACGATCCACCCACTACTACACCCGGACAGCTGAAACCCGGACAGCTTTGGGAACCCCTGAGTGCAAGCCAAGCTGAGCCCCAGACAGCTGTGGGAGCATCAGGGATCACACCCCTCCCACACACACCATTGAGGGAGCCACATTCAGCACCAGGGACCTTTGGGTCCTTGCTCCACCACTCCAACATCATCCTGGGAGTGAGGCTGAGTTCCAGGGAACCTCTGGATATCTGAAAATGAAAAAACAAAGGAGCAAAATGCAA